ATTGGATTGGCAATAAATTAATTTTCCCCAAGTCATGTCTAGTTTACCCGTACTGGTAATTGGTGAATGATCTCTCCCTGTCCTTATCTCGACCCATGAGCCCTTCGTTGTATTTTCTCTCCCCCGTCCAGCTGAGGAGGGGAGTGATAGATTGGCTTTGGTGGGTACCTGGCATCCAGCCAGGGTCAACCCACCACAGTAATTCATGACTTAACGTGTTTTCAGAACAGCAGAAAGTAATTGCATTCCCATTACAGGACTCCGAGAACGTATACCTAAAACTAACTTGGGCACAGTATAAGAAAATAAGCACGTATCTTCACCAGAAACAAAGACTACGTTCAACAATAGGCCCTGTACACGTATGAAGGCAGTTAACTCTGCTATCACGCTGCGACCATGTTTTTATTGGCTCAGCTCCCACAGACTTCAGTTTTACGTGGTCCAGTTTAAGCCTGCATTCTCCTGAGAGCATTTAGTCTGTTATAACAGTTACAGGACCAACACACACGTGCATATTAAGCAGGGGTTAGCAAACTACCATGCTTTGTATTCTGCTGAGTAACTAATCTGCTTCTAAAATTCTGTGGCATCATTCTTGTCTCAAAACCCAACGCTTCTACAGACTAAAAAGCCCACATCTGCCTTCAGTGTGTAGTAATTTAAATGTGGTAACTCACCCCAGCATAAAGGTGGAGAGGTTTATGTGGACATCAGTCTACATATTGTATAAGTAATGAGATGAAAGGCATGTTTTTATGTCATCCCCAGCAACAAAGACAATTCAACTCTTGCCTGTATTTAAAGACCAGTCCTTGAACTCTCAAAGCCTTTGTAAAAGATAAAATCTTTATATAAACAAACAGTTGTGTTATCTTGAGTCAGGCAGCATCTACCTTTAAAGTGGTATCAGTTTTTCAGAATAAATACCCCTGTGTCTTTAAAAGCAAATCACTACTAACTTTAGCAAAAACTAGATATAGTTCTTCATAGACTAGTTTTCTTTAAAAAAAACGAACAACAAATCAACCACAAAAGATAGCAGATACCTTTCTTAAAGGATCTTCACAAGAAGACTCCTTCGATATGCTTGAGCAAAACAGCTTTGTTGCAGTCAATTAGATTTAATTTACCTCAGCACAGAGCATTGTACAAAGAATACTGTTTTCAGCTACTCCCTGAAGTCACCCACCAATGCTCACAGACTCTCAAAGGAAATTGGACTTGTCCAGAATATGCAGCCTGGATAAGAATAAGCTACACAGAAAAAAACCCCACCTATTTGCTATATATTTATTTTTCCACTTTAGATCTCAAACTTAAGTTAAAACTGTGGTTATAGTATCATTTCTGGTTTAGAATTTTATCTTCCCCTAAGCCAGGAGCACAAGCGAAAAAAGCACAGGTGTACTGGGGGACAACAGTGTGTTACCACCCTTACTTAAGATGAATGAAGTGAGAGGATTTGTTCTGCTTATGGCAAGAGGGTTAACACACCTTCCAGATGACATAATCCTTTAAGACCAACCTATGCTAATAAGCGATCATCTAAGCCTTACTGACCACATCTGGCAGAAACCATAGTTTCTTCACATTTATAACACCAAAGTGTTGAGTATTACCCACTTTTATGCTGCAGGAAGGAACTTACTGAGATGAAATGTAATTATTTTGACAAATTAAAACATTTTTAAAAGCACCTGCTTGGCTTCAGTTCCATTTCCCATTTTGACAGACTCAGGCACCAAAGCATCCCATTTTCCGGAATAAATCTGTCACTCATAAAAGTGTTAGGTCAGGACTTCAGTGGAAACAAAGGCCTCTTTCATAAGGATCTCCAAAACTAAGACCTGTGAGCAAAATTCTCACTTATAATTTAAGGATCTTCTTATAATCCAGAATACACTTACATAACGGACTACATACAGAGAAGCTCAGGGTTAAAACCCCTGAAGGAAAACAGAAGCAAAGGAGTTGCACATAAGAGAGAGCTCAGACAAAGTCAGCTTAAGCGCTGTGCACACAGGAAGAACTGAAATCAAGACACTCAGAGAATCCAGGAAGTGACAACACCAGAAAACCAGAATAAACTCCATGGATAAACTTACCTGATTTGTTTGTCCATTAACGAGACCCATATTCTTTATTAAACCATTCTCACAAAACAGAGCAATTTCTGAAGAAAAGTAGCATGCAGCAACAAAATTTGCTATAGTGAGAGAAAACATCCTTTTTTTTTAAAAAAAAAAAAAAAAAAGAATCATACCACTTCTCCTGCAAAGGTGGCTACCGGTCTGCAACTGCACAGGTTGCCTATTTGCTCCTGCGCTGCCTGTCTGCAGCCTGTAATTGGCACAAACTCCCAGCTGGTGATCAGAAGCATTTGCCAACATGCTGGGCTGCCAAATTCAGTGCTTCTCATACCATGCATTCAATCACCCCTTTGGTGCAGCAGCCATATTAAGCTCAATTTTTTCATCACGTACCAGTGGACACATTCAAGTAGTTGGCAATATGATGGACTGACTCATTGAAAGTTTATTTGGAAAGTGGTCAGTGTACATACGCACACTCTCAACAAGAGTATTAGCACGAAAACGCAGAGCTTTGAGTTCACAGCTTTTCTACCACCCCATGAACACAGCATTGAAGTTGCTGAAAATTCCAGGACAAAGAAGCACCTGTCTTTTTCTAAAGAAGTTTCAAAAAGCTTTTTTTTTTTTAAATTATTTTTTAATATTTAAAGCAGCAGCTTTATCAGTATTATTCTGAATACACAGAACTGCCCTAGTTTTTCTGTGAGTATGTGGAGAATAACTGTACCATCATATACTCTTACAAAAGTAGAGTTAATATTTCCTTATGGCTTTACAGTAGTAATTCCTGATGTTAGAAAACCAGAAATCCATTTCACCATCTCTTTTGCTGGACAACTGCAACTCTCATATATAAATAGTACTGTAGCTGCCCCCTCTAAAACCTGCTCAAGTATATAGCTCAAGCCTTTCAGCCACTTGGAACACCAAGTCTGTCTACAGTCTTGTCTCTCTCTCTCTCTCCTTTTATCCTTCGTGCCACTCAAGCCTTTCTGTCCCTCAGCTCACAGAAGACATCTACATGCCAAACCAACGTATGAGATGTCCAAAAATTACACTAAAATAACTGCAGCCTTTTCACCTGCCATTTTAACATTTTATATCTTCGCTTGTGTGACTTTGTGTAGCAAACATTCATACTGCAGAACAACATTTCAGACAAAAATGGTATAACTACTTACATTATATACTATACTGCAAATATTAAGATAATGATTTGAAGCATCAAGAAAAATTTTCAGCATTACAGTACCTTATTAAAGTTTAGCTATGAACAAAGTTTAGCCTTCTCTCTGGATTTATTTGTATTTCAAAAGACAATGCAAAAAGAAAAAATGTTACATGTGTACCAGTCACTCCTGTAGACTGGAATTTGATTAGCCACTGAGAATTTAGCACTGCAGTATTTTCGAACAATATGCAACAGTATATGTTCAGCTGAAAGGGTACTCTAATGCAATATTCAAGCCTGCGGTTTTTTTTTCTGAGCTCCTGGCAAACGTGGGAACTCCACTGCTTCCCAGTAGCTCAATTATTTTTATGTAAGTGACAGCAGGTGGGTATTTAAGTAGATTGTTTTGTTATACATAAATGCCATTACAGACAAGTCTTTGTATGGCTCTGCTTTACTTTTGTGGCTCAGTTTAACACAAAACATTAGTCCTGGAAAAGCATAGTTATACCAATAGCATAATTACATTAAAATATTCATCTGGTTGTAAGTACGCAAGATCTAGTCAAAGCAAGTATCAATTTCAGCTGCTGGGTTTTCAAGCAAAAAGCCTCTGCAAAAGACAATTAAAGCTTCCATCACCCTACCAGAGGTAATAATGAGAAACAAGTCTAAACCACAGGAGCATTGGTCTATTTTTGACAGTGGTATTTAAGTATTTATTAAGCTGGTTTTCATCCATTTATTCAGTTGGCTTACATCCATCTGCCACATGTAACATTTGAAAATGCACAGTTAGCAAGCTGCTAAAGTAAGGAATCTGGGTAGTGTTTGGTTGCATTTTTTCTATTAACATAATAGGCAACAGCTTCTAGAATTTGTCTTGCTGATATACTTCAACTCTGCCTGAAGCAAAGATAGGAAAAGGTCCCTCCCTGCTAGTATAAAATAGTTCAAGTACTGGAAAAAAGCCACTGGCTATTTTTTAATAACAGCATTTGCATAAGCAGAAAGAAACTCCCAGTGTTTCACTGATCTCTGACAATACTCAAGCAAAGTTTTACTTTAAGTTCTAAAATACAGAAGTTTATTTAGCCAATATAACAGTTCTACAAACTGCACCACAGATAGTGTTGCACAGCTTATGACCAAGATCAATACTAAAAGCTAAAATCTTGCTAGTGACAGTGCTAATACAAATTGGCAATTTCAACATTTCAGTTCAGAAAACATCCATTCTTCTAAACCCCGCTGATGTATATCACTTATGTAAATATTTATTAGATCCAGTCATCATGATACAGTGTTAGTCAGGTTAACAAACCTTCCCACTGTGAGAATACACCAGTATAAGGCATGAACACCACGAAATTTATATGAAATCTATATGAAGTTTTATAGTAACTTTCCAGAAATATGCTTGTGGCCCATCAAATTCAGACTAAACTACTGTAAATTTAAAATATTTACTTGACTTCTTAGCATACCTAATGTGTAAGAATAGTTTCTTGTTTGATTCCCAAAAATAAATATAAGCTTTCAATTGAAAGCATTTATTTCCCTAGTTTTCCAAAGCAGAGTCTGGGCGGGGGGGTGGGGCGGAAAATGCTTCAGACTTGTCATCGGTCCACTTCGGTACATAAAAGCATCTCCTGTCCCAGTATTCTTTCAAATCCAAGAGATATTTTCTTCCAGTGAAACATGACTGGAGCACTCATGTTATTTTCAGCAATTCAGTCTGTTTCCATGGCAGCACTGCGGGATTCCTTAGCCACCATGAGTCGCATTAGCTGACTGTGGAATTTCTCGATCTTCTTTACGTCTTGCGCCTGGTCTGTTCTATACAGCAAACACTGTAAAAGAAAGTTGCTTAATATCAGTTTTCACTTGAACAGTTTTTATCCTGTTTATAGTTGCAACAAATTTGTGCTTGAAACACACAAAACAAGGTAAGTACTTAAAAGTTAGTTTGTGGCATGTTGTTACCATGAGGCAGCACCAACACAGGTCTATCCTGTTTTAAAATATATACACATCTGTGTTTAAGTTTCTCTGAAAGGCCTCCCATTTTCAAAACAGGGAAAGCTCATGATTGTTTCTTCTGTCTCAAAAACAGCGCTAAAACTTGGGTTTTAAAGCTGTCTTTAAAAAGACACCTTTGTTCGTGTTGTCTAAAAATAGCAGCAGATTTTAAACCTGAAATTACTCGCCTCTTCTCTATATTCTGAGAGCAAGTTTATTTTGCCTTTCACAGTCCTTAATGTTACGCTGCCAGTGACATAAAATCAGTTCAGTATTTCCCATTGAAGAGGATCCCTTCTCCCATACAAAATCTGTTTCTAAGACAGTCCTAAATAAGGAACATAACATCTGATTAAGATCAAAAGGAACTCCTTCATGTGACAAACCTGTAAATGCAAAAGGAATGAGAGTAATACACCAGTGATTTATGGTAGAAAGACCGCTTAGGTTTTTGCAGACTAAGCAATTCCTTACACCTGTACAGCACCAGTATGACTGCCCAGGCTGATTTAGCAATGGAAAAACCCCAGAATGCTCCATTCTTCAGTGCTGTCAATACAGCAACTTTTGACAGCATTAAATTCCTATTTTAATTCAGACACAAACAGTAGAAAAACGGTTTATTTTTCACTTCAGTTATATTAGCTCTACAGAGTCAGCAGCAAGGAAAACTTCCCACCTCTACAAAAAAAAAACCTAGAAAACCAACCCAACCCCCTGCTTCCCCCATTGGTGTAACAGCTTTCCAGAACTGGAAGCAGGTAAGGAGGCCTATAACTGAAAACAATCCAAGTTCATGAATCACCTGAATCCAGCGCTCCCCCTGTGGAAGATTTCAATTTAATCGTCCTTCACTTCTCCCTGTTATCAGTGCCCCGTACGCAACATCTCACCCACACTATGCCCTATTATCCTATCAAGAAGTGTCATTCCTGGAGTTTTGCATCTCTCCCAGGTATGGGAAATACCAATGCCAGACCACTTTTCCTGGAAAGAAGAAATCTGATTTTTTCCGAGTCTGAAGATACGAGCAGGGCAGATTACTGTTGCTTACTTGGGACTGCAGAATAACAACTTGGCTGTAACATCACTAGCACCAAGAACGCGTTGCTGGCATGCACGCGCTGATGCATTTCTACCTTCTGCCCACCTTCTCACATCCTAGCCCCTCACATACTTCCAAGAACCCTTCCAGACTATTTAGAACAAGGGCAACCTGTAAACGCAGCTGCTCCACCTCCCTGTACAGCAGCCCTTGGAAGGACACTGCAGAATTCCATGTTGTGTGTATGTGCCACAGTTTTTACTGAATGCATAACTGACACCATAACAGTACTTGAGAAAATGGGATCACTGAACCGCAAGTGAATCTTGTTGTGCTGTCTCATAATCACTCCACCATCTCATAGTCACAAAGAAGGAGCTTAACCTATGGTTGAAAGTTGTTACCACTGTTTGAAGATGCTCCTGAAATGCTTCCGCAGAAGCTACCAGTGTCGTTCTATGACACATTTTCAGAGAGAAGATCCAGATTTTTGTAGTGACTTTTTTTTTTCCACAGAATCCTAAAAATATTACGTTGAGACCCATAAAAAAAACACTGAAGTGTTAGAACTTTTCCTGGACCGTGCATAGTTGAACCACGTCAGTCACAGACACAGCAACTAGGGAAGGCTGAGCACAACAAGTTTTTAGGAAACTGTCAGGCACTCTCAAGGCAACGGCTAAGAGCTCACAAGCTGACTGACAGCAAAATGCAAGTCCGTCAGAGGTACAATAAGCCCTAAAAGGGCAACGTGTTCTGTACTTACAGCTACATCATCCGTTACTTTGATACAGAGGTTCCCATCACAATGTCGATATTTGAGAACAACCCGCACCTGAAAAGACAAACATTTTAAGAATTAACATCTACTAACAATTCTCAGAACACAGCTGAAGCAAATCTGCCCAAATTAACATCTAACAATTCTCAGAACACAGCTGAAGCAAATATGCCCAAATTCAGACTACCTTTTATTATAATTCTGTACTGCTTCATATGTTCCATCACCTCTGTGATGGTCTTCAGCTCTGCTGACCACTAATCCCACAGCCAGGATGATTTGGAAGTTGAAACATCACATTGCCCTGTATAACCTACTAAACTGCTGTTATAATAGCATCAGGAAGCTTAACACTGGGCATTTTCAAACCCACTATAACTACAGCAACAGCAGTTGCAGAGACCTCAGTGACAGGTAAGATAAACTACGAGAGTCATGTCAATACAAGACACCCACTCACCATACATCACACTTCAGAAAAAATAAATGGAAACTTGTGTTTATAGACTTGAAACACTTCAAAAATAAAAAAGTTCTATATGAAAAGAAAATAAAAGAGTTCTACACGAAGACTTGAAAGGGATTAACTGACTGGGGTATGCTCAACATTACTGCTTTTTATTCTACAGTACCTAAGCTATTATCTTAAAAAGCTGTATTTCCAGTCACTGCAGTTAATTCAATAGCTGCACTGAAGCATACAGATTTCAAGTGTTCTGATGCTTTGCAAGTAGAAAGAGACTGTACAAGAATAACACTTTTAGAGTAACCAGAATCAGAAGACTGAGGAGAGCTCTTGCAAATTAAATTGCTTCCAAGACTCAATAAGACTAAGTTTGAAGTCTGAAAGCAAGCATTCACCTTCTCACTACAACAGTTACTACTGCAGTCACCTACCCTGAGTTTTAACCTGTCCACAGTCCTTCTGGACTTTCAAATCACCAAAGTTCTCAGAATGATGGTGATAAAAATCAACATCCTCAGCAACTGACTGAGCATTAAATGCTTCCTCCTGAATGCAGAGCTGGCCACAGAAACTTGGTATCTATTGTTTCTAGCCTCAGCCAGCATCAGTAACTAGAAACAAAGCAAGGTGTCCCTTTTGAGAACATTCTGAACTCACACTATAAACAGGTCTTTGTTGTACAGAGTGACCCGTGCTAACGGTCAACAACCTCCTTGACTACAAAACATATTTTGAAATTCCTGCTCCGAGATGGATCTCACCATAGGTTTATCTTTCTTGTTTAAGAAACTGTCATCTTCAAACAACAACAGCTGCGTTACATCTCTCAACCCAGGAGGCCCAAAAGCACAAGAGAGGCTGCCAGAGGCAGCAGGCATGGACTCGACAGACAACTTGCTCACGCGAAAGGCAAGACCACTCACTGCCTAGCCTCACCAGCCCACAAAGAACGCAGACCCATCACCTTTAACATCCCACAATTCTTGTTCTGCATTCAGTTTCCTGACAAGCCCTATTACATACAGAAGCTCCTTAGACTAGTTCTCTGGCACACAAAAGGAGAGCAGTCATGTTATGACCCTGGGGCCTACATAAACTCTTTCATAAACAGAAAACTTATTGCCATAGCTGGGAAGATATGGGGGCCACTTAAGAAAAGGGGAAGAGCAACTCCAGGCTGCAGTGACATCCCTCCCAAACCCTTGCATTTAACTGGATATTACAGAACATAAGAAGGTAAACCAAAACAATTTATTTTGTTATCAGTAGATAGATGGCAATTGCATATCAAGTGATCAACCATGCTAATTAAAGACTGATATCAAACACTGCTTCTGAAGGTTTCTGTGTCCTCTATTTTTGGTGAGGAAAACTAGGCCTTTCTTAGAGAAGTTTTCTCAGGCATACAAGTCCTACGTTACCTTTTGTGCTACTTTTTGGCTAAAAAGCAATGCTGTTTCTGAAGACTAAATTAGCCTTTAAGTTTTGCGCGAACTATGTTCCTGAAAGAGTTACGAGAAACAAAACACAGTCGCATACCAAAAAGTTAACTCCTAGAGCAGTTACTCGTTAGGAAGCTAACACCTTCCAGTCAGAAATGACACAGCAGGCAACAACGCAACGTAACACCTAATGAATGCTTTCGTTTAATTTTTCAGGAAGACTAATTAAAATGATACGGTCTTAAAGGTTGCAAGCTCATAAAAATTAACGGATTCTAAAGCCATAGCACCGGAGCCACCGAGCCGCCCCCGCCGGCGCCCACCGCCTCACCCCGGAGTCGCTCCTCCCCGAGGCCTACCGCGGCCCGCCCGTCCCTTCCTCCCC